GCAACATAGCATGTTAAGAAATACATAGGAGAAATAGAATTTAAAAGTCTATTATTTCCTCCTTTCATCCATTGTTGCTATATGATTTACATCTGGTAAAATGAAAAACAGACCAACCTTGAAAATTCCCTGAGCAGACAAAACCAGTTTAATCATATAAGCAAAGCTTAATTTAGCTTATTTTGCAAAACTAACTTGACTTTGGTCATTTTTTTGCTTATGCCTCTGAAAATGAGCTTAATTTAGCTTATTTTGCAAGACTAACTTGACTTTGGTCATTTTTTGCTTGTGCCTCTGAAAATAATGAGCAAAACTTGAACTTTTTTTCAAGGTTGATGACATGAGGTAACCACTGATCAATTCCTTATCATTTAAGAAAATTCTCACATTGTAACCAATAACTGTGAAGAATAAACAGTTACTGCTTTCTCACTGTATAAGCTGTTTTATAACGACCCATCCCTGAGCCTCCTTCCACATTTGGTTTGAATGCTCCCAGTTTGCAAACTGTCTTTTTTGGTGTGTGCACAATAAATTTTTATTAATTACTACAATGATTCATTGGTTTTACTTCAGCTATTTAGGAACCTTTGACAGAGGTTCGTTCTTCCCTCTGAATTAAAACAGAAACACTTTCGATTAGAAAAACTGTGACATAGAGGGATTTGTCAATTTTAGAATACATTTTGCTGATTCATAGCCATCAGATTGTTTATACCTCTGCTTAATTCTTCATAATCACTGATTTTCTTCAGCAGGCTCTTGTTGACTTGGTCACAGATTCTTTTCAGGGTGTCCAGATTTCTTTTCCCAAGTATAAGCCTCTTCTCCATCTCTATGAAAATATCAAGCAAGGTCTAGAGGGAGGAGAAATCAAGTAGGAAGATGGAACTGGGACACACTGACTTTTAGATTAGATTTTTCTTCCACTTCCACTTTCTGCAAACCAAGGGCCCACCCTAGCTTCGCAAGCGGACCCTCCTGAGAGGATGAGATGGTCTTACAAAGCCAATAGACTACTAGAGTGACAATTCTGTGTTTTCTGACACGGAAAGATAGAAGTGGAAAAACAGACAAGAAATCTTAACAGGCGTCGCCCAGTCCCCAGGTCCCAGGTTCTGTGCCGAAACACCTGTGGATGCCTTTATATGAGGACTGGAAACAGCCCAAGGTACATAGCTAAGACTCCGCAGCCTAGTCTCCATGGACTGCCTAACAACCAGTATTGCCTCTGGTAGCATATCCACACACACAGACACACACATAAAACACCTCACTACACACACACACACAGTTCCAGGTCCCACTTGTTTCAGAGACTGCAGAAGTGTGGGAAACATCTGAGGCCCACCACAGTCTTTCCTGGCTCTGCAGGGCCCCACGTGGGGCTGAGACCCCACCAGCAGCCTTCTCTCCTGACTCTCCCTAGTCCTCATAATCAACGTAAGCGAGACTTCACAGTATACAAAGGAATCACGTCTAAAACACTCATGCCTGATAGCTTTCTTCTTCTCCCCGGATTAAAAAAAGAAAATTCAGCTTGCTTTTACTGGAGTAGCCCTTTCTTCAGTCTCAGAAATGCCCACTGGCTGACTCTTCCTCAGGACCTACTCTTGGAATGACAACAGTTCTTACCATGTCATCTTCCAGTTTACATTTGGCGATCTCCTGGCTCAAAAGAAACTTAAAGGCCTTCAATTCCGGTTTGTTTACGTCTTCCGAAATCTGAAAAAGCATGACCCTGTGGTGGGAAACGGAGACACCTGAGAAATATTTTCTTAAATAATTTCCCATTTGATATTTGAAATCATGGCAGACTTGATTCCAATGGACTCTCTTTAAAATAAAGCCAGCTAATGACACGATTTATAAGTTGAGTCCTTGGAAAGAGGCTGGTGTAGTGACACAGAAGAATACTGACTCAGGCCCAGCTACCCCCCTTTAAAATAATTTAAAGTTCTACTAACTTTGTCCTTCAGTTAATTTCAATTAAATAGATGGTGGTTTTCCTTTGTCTTCACCATAAAAATCAAAATCTTGTTGTAATAAAAAGTTTTGATTTTGGAAATTATGCTTTTCAAAATGCAAATCAGATCATCACTTTCTTAATTAAAACTTACCAGTGTCTTCTCAGCTATTACCTTCAGTTGGAAGGCCAAACACTTAGTTCTGTAACACAGACCTTTCTTTGTGAACTGAGATGAGCCTGCCTCCTCACCTCCAGCCACTCCTCACCGCCCTACCTCTATCTCTTCTCTAAACATACTCAGCTGCCCTGCCCCTCACCCCTTTATGCTGTGCCCCTCCCACCCCCATTCCCTGGTCTATCTTGAGACAACAGCTCAAGCACTGCCTGAGCATCCTCAGGGCTGAATTCGCCCTGCTGTACTTTGGAATCACCCAAAGCTTTGTATTATCCGAAAGATAACACAGATAATTGTCTGTTTACAAAGCTGTCCAAGCGCCCTGACAGCAGGGTCCACAGCCTTTGTGTTTCCATACACCCAGAGGGTTGTGAGATACAGTGTTTAAATGTAGGAGACTCAGATTACTGGTGTCAGAATCTTGGTTCTACCATCTATACACTGTGTGCATTTAGATATGTTTTTTTTTTAACACATGTTTTTCCTCATTTTAATGACTGTAGGTAATACTATATACCACTGAGTCATGTTGAAGATTACATGAATAAGTTTATCTGAAGTGCTTAAACCAATCTTTGGCAACACACTAAGTGCTCACGACACGATAGGCTTTACTATTTCCTAATCTATGTAGGCTCGGGATATGCTTGTTAAATGAACAAAGGAATGTTTTAAAAGTCAGCAAACTTTTCACTATTATTATGTAAAGGAAGATAACTTCAGGACAAAATCATGTTAACTTCAAAATTAAATCTGAAAATTTTAATTCTGCAAAAAAAAAAAAATAGTGTAAACACAGAATTTACTCAGTATTATCATCTGCTTCATCCTTCTCATGGAATCTCTTCCCTAGAAGTATTTCTCTAAAACTTTTGTACTTTGGCCAAGATTGGGTCCAATCAAAAGCTACTGGCCCTTTTTAATTTTATAACAAGGTATTTCACCCTTTTACTTTCCTCATTACTGAAAGCTACTGGCTTTCTTGTACCATCATTGTCTAGAAATTAACCTGGATAGTTTATAAGACGCTCATTTTATAGGGAGCAATTATAATTTGAAAATTAAAATGTCTGGCGTTTTCTTACAAAAAGAAAGTGGCCATACTAGCATATTTTTTATTTCTCGGCTAATAATAAAAAATGATGAACAAGCAGTAGATCGTACTAGTGCTGAGGCTTTTGTTCCCAAGCTCACATGTTGAAGATTTTAGCAGATAAATCCCACCCTCCTTAAGGACTCTTGGCCCTCCAACAGAGAGGGACAGGTCGTCGTCTGGCTTTGGCAGTTCGTCTCAGTCTAACTCACATGGCAGAAAGAGTGCAATGTCCAGAAGACCAAGATGGTGGGCACAAGATGAGACCTTCCAGCCTTCCTAGTTCTGTTTTTTAGGATGAATTGGTGCCTTAATTTAAAAATTCCTTAAAAGAACTTCAATAAGAATCCTATTAAACAAAGTTACTCAGTATTGAATAGTGTCTTCCTTCCCTCTCTTCCCCAATTCACGTTCACCCAGAATGTGTCACTGTGATTTTATTTAGTAAAAGCGTCTCGGCTGTTGTAATCTTGTTAAGATGAGGTCATACTAGATTGGAGTGGGCCCTAATCCAATGACTGGGGTCCTTATAAAAAGGAAATTCAGACAAACAGACAGAGGAGAATGGAGGCAGAGATTGAATTTATACATCTACAAGACAAGGAACACCAAGGAGCGCCTGCAATCACCAGAAGCTAGAAGAGGAGTATGATACAGATTCTCCACAGAGCCTCCAACAAGGGACCAACCCTGCTGACACCTTGATTTCAGACTTTTAGCTTTCAGTACTATGAAAGAATAAATTTCTCTACTCTGTTAAGCCACCCAGTTTGTGGTACTTTGTTACAACAAACCCAGGACACAAAAACACCTTGAATATCTCTTTTGTCATTTAAAATAAAAATGGTCAAGCCTCAAGTAGAGCATATGACAAGGAATACGCTAGAACCTCAGGTATCTGAGAGCAGTAAGATCAGGGCATTAATAGGCCGGTCTAGTAGAGGACAGTGGCTTCCACTCCCAGCTGTGAGGACTTAAAGTCACACATGCCACAATTACTCACAAGCAAATCGATACAGTAAAATGGGCTACGGCCAAGGCTTGAATAGAAGACTTCTGAAAGAAAAGCTAAAAATAATCTTAAGGCGTGTCTGAGAACAGGGGATGTTGAAAGAGAGAAGTTGGTAATGTGTTTCTATTTTTAAAGTCTTAAGAATCACGAAGACGTAACTGAATGTGACTTATTATCGCCTCTGGGTCACCCACTCTCGCACAGGTGGAGAGAAGAGAGCTACCTTTGGCAGGACTGACACCCAAGTCACCGCCACTCTAGCAGCAGATGTCCTCATAGAGGCTAAGCATTCTCTGTGAGGTCTGGCCTGGCCAATGCAGAATGACTGGCAGCATGCACCTGATTAGAGAATTGCATAATGCAAGTGTGGATAAAAGCCTAAAACTCCATTGACAATTTCCATAATTAGCTACAAGCAAGTGGGAAAAGAGTTTAAGGGTGTGAAGTAGTGATACTTTATCAGATAAGAGACAAAGTAATCACACAATGTGAGCATTAGCAAAGCAGAGACACCAAGATAATAGATATATAACAGACAGAAAGAGAGAGAGTTAGAACATTTAGAAAGTCTCTTTTAATGTTGGCATACTTATAGGTAATGTTTCACTTTGAAAAATTTTTATTTGATGGTTTTAGCATTTTTTTATGAATTATACATAAGGTCTCTAAACTTCTTAATCTGGCCCTGGTGGGACATCTTTCCAGAGCCTACAGAGTCACATACTACATAGACAACCTGCAATCAACCCTGCCCACAAAGTTATGCCCACTCCTCACACACTTCCCAGTGCCCACACTGTGGAGGTTCTCCCCACCTGTAGGCAGAGATCTGAGCCTTGTCCGGTATCTGCAGCTCCTTCTTCATCTCTTCTCCGCTGGTGCCTAGGTGGTTGACCAGCAAATCCAGTCTATTAATTCGGAATAGCAGCTCCTTCAAGAAGGACAAGTTGCTTTCCTCCAACATTCTCTTTTCCTGGAGTCTCTGGAATAACGTTAAGGCATCCTTGATGGGTTCCTGCTTCCTTTGTGGGATGTAGTCCAGGCTCAGGAACTTGAGGGAGGCCAGCTCATCACTGCCCAGATTTTCCCCAATATCATAGAGACAACTGTTGAAACTCATGCTTGTCCAGTGTTAGTCGAATGTAATTGTAACCTAGGTCAAAATACAAGATTATGTTCAGAAGAGGAAGAAAAGTACCATTTACTGGTTTGTTCTTGCGTCAAATGTTATTACATCTACTACAATATATACCAGACATTTTGCTATGGATCCAGGGAAGAAAAACAAACAAACAGGACCAGCTCCTGCTCTCGAGTAGCTTGCTGTTTAGGAAGGTAGATATACAAACTAGCCAGTGGTCAGGGTACCCTGGGAACACAGGGAAAGGAGTCCTACCTCAGCCTGGGAGAAGGGCTTCCTGGAAGGAAGACACCTTTGGGGAGGAGGTGGGAAAGGACAATTATTGCAGGAAATAATTTATGCAAAAGGTGGAGACAAGAATGTTCAAGTCAGTTCAGGCAGGCACGAAGAGCTCAGTAAGGTAAGCTGGAGGAGTCTGGGAGGGGGAGTGGTGGGGAGAAGAGATGAGGCTGTGGCCAAGAACCACTACAAAGGGCCTCAGTTATGGAGCAAAGGGTTCAGGCTTTGTCCTGGAGGTGATGGGGAAGGAGGAAAGGATTGTAAACGTGAGAATGACGTCTTCTGAATGGGATGAACATTGAAAGTGTGGAGGACAGACTGGAAAGGTTGGAGGTGGGAAGTGATGGGTCTGAAACAATGGTCGGGGGCAGGGATATGATGCAGTGTTGCCCCCCAGGCCTTAGGTCTACTACACGTTGCTGGTCAAGAGCTCGAGATGGAAGGGGAACCAGGTCAACTCTGTCAACCCTTTTAACTCAGTCTCTAAATTATATAATGTGGTATTTTCAAACATATGTTTAAGCAGGTTTTAAAAAAAAGAAGGAAAAAAAGGAGAGGGTAGCGTTTCAGGAAACCCAGACAACCTTCATGCAAGCAGTCCAGGATCTGGGGTTTCTCTTCTCTTGAGCCTCTTGAGTCACCTTGACCGATTTGTCCCTGCTCTGATAGGCCTGTGTCTGTGATGCAAGGACCCTCGGAGCAGTGTTTGTATCGGATTTGTTCATAGAAACAAGACGGACTTGGCTCTGTAAGCCAGCTACAGTGTCACCCATCAAAGCCAGGAAGCTCACTGCAGCTGACCACAGTAGGCGAGTGGAGTGCAGTGGTTCAGGTATGAGGCTTTGGGCTCAGATCAAACTTAGATCAGAATCCAGCTGGGATACTGCCTCCAGGCCCTGGCAGCTCCTGTCCTCTGAGGGTTAGAGTCCTGTAAAACAGGAATCAGAATAACATCCATCTCCTAAAGTGTTGTGAATATGTAGCCTCTAATTCATTTAGATAACAATGGCCAGCAACAAATGAACGCCAACTAAGTATTAACCTAAAAGAAGAGAAAAGACCCAGCTGTGGGGCCCTGACCAAACTGGGTATATGACTTTGAGCACTTCTCCCATTCTCCAAGTTTTCCCATTGTCTCGCTTGGTAAATGTGAAAATTCACTTGGAAGCAGTGGTTTCCAAACTCTGCAAAGTTAAAGAACTCTTCATTGAAGTCTTACTCAGATGTTCTCTTACCTTAAGAGGTGGTCCTGGAGAGTTACCCTTTGAGAACCTTGAACTAGGAAATGAACTTCCCATCCAGCTCCATCATGTCCTTGATCCAGCACACTCTCTGCCCTTGGGCACTTTCTTTAACCTCAAATAACTTTAACCTGTTTGGACCTCTTTCCTCCATGAAATAAGGCAGATGGGTTCCTGGCTCTTTAAGCTCCTTGCATTTGCTAACCTTCTCAGATGAAAACACAAATCCTGACTACTACTCAGAGTTAGCGATCGAGTGAACCAAGGCCCCTGTATTTTCTACATCTGATGTTAAACTAGAAATATTTTTTATTTACACATTAAAATAAGCTTTAATGTTTTTTAACACGGGCCAAAAACACTCTGAGACTTTTAGAAAAACCTTCTTCTCTCCACCCTGATTATAGAGGCAGTGGTTTTTTAAAATAAAAATTGAAAATACAGTGAATTATAACATGGTCCCAGTTATTATTATCATATACCACACACACACACACACATGCACACACACAAATACATTTATATAAAAATTAGAATCGAGCTGCATATCCAGGAGTGTATACTTGGTCTTTCCCCCCCACCACCACCACTTAATATTTAGAATGAATGTTTACCCCTACCATTAAATATTCTTCTTTGGCATATTTTTAATGTTTCTTGATTTCTAGCATGTGGATATATCAAAATTTATTTCAGACATTTTTCTATTTCTTTACTGTAAAAATAATATCACATTGAAAGGCTTTTTCATATATCCTGCATGCATCTCTAATTATTCCCTTCTTAGAAGTGGAATCATGGGGCAAAACCTTTTTCCTCCCTTTTAATAACCGTTTTCTCATTTGTCCCGAAAATTCTTGTGGGCAGTGCTTGTGGCTGCAGCATTTACTCCGAGACAACTCGCAGATTACAGTCTTAATCTTGCCCCCAAAGTTTGCCATGAAATATCTTGCTTCTATTATTATTTTCACATCACTCTGTCTTTAGTAGTGGTATTTCTATTTACAAAATATAGTAATTCTCGATCACTGAAAATGTCAAATCCTAAAAAATGTAGCATTCCTACACATGATATTAAATGAATGCTGGCAGCAAGCTGCACTTTTTCTTTCTAAATGAGAAAAGAATTCCTCTTTTAAGATAGAGCTTACATCATTGTTTAGACAAGTTTTCTTGATTCAGAAAACTGGAGGGACAGTGTCTTAGGAAGATATACTTTGCATTGGCTTCACAAAGGCTACGGAGCCTAGACTTTTCACTGCAAAAACCCATCGATTTTCGTGAAAATACTTTTATTTAGGAAAGATATCTTAAATAAGTGGCCAGCACTCAACAGCATATATTCAAAGTGCAACAAACAAAAACTGCTGGACGTGCAAAAACTGCTAGACACAAACTAGCAAGCTCACTCCTTAAATCACACAATAAAGACACACATGTACTCAACAGGTATGTTCGTGGAGTCTCAGCATAGCATGATGTGTAACCCCGAACAACTAGAAACATTCCATGTGTCATTTAATAAAGGAACAGCTAAATAAACTAAGGTATAGTCAGACTATACAATATCATGTAGAAAATACATTCCATCTTCCAAAATGAAAATGAATATCCAAGACATGTTACTATTATGACAGTGAAAAAAGCAAGTTGCAACATAACAAGAAAATCATACACCTAATTTTTTTAAATACTCAAAGCAAAAGTTAGATGTTCAGTGATTACAGATATATATATGTAAAAGCAGAAAATAAAAGGTAAAGAGGTCTAGAAAGAGATATACCAAACTCATAAAGTTGTTCCTTCTGGAAAACAGAGGAGAAAATGAAAACTTGGAGGTGAAGGAATGAGGAAAGGGAATTTACCTTTTCCCGTAATGCGTTAAGGAAAATGTATGCAGACATAGCTGCGTAAATGAAATTAATGTTAAAATACTAGCTCGAGTATGTCCTTGTGTTTAAGGGAGTGTAACAAAGTGAGTGGAGGAGCAGGAAATGAGGCTCTTGGGGAAGCTGAAGGCAGATAATGCCAGGCAAGGAGACCAGATTCCAGAAGCGTGACACAATCACATGTGTGTTCTTAAAAGAAAAGAAAATATTACAAAACTTAAACTTTAAAAATAATGTAAGAGAACTCAAAGGACTTATTTTCCCCCCAAATAGCAGGAAACTTTCATACATCTCAGAGACTAAAAAATTTAGTAGACTGAATATAAGAAGCCTATAAAGATCTGCAGAGCACAACTGACAGCTTCCATCTAACAAACATATCCTCTCAGTGGAAAATACACGTTCTTTCAAATACATACAAAATATCCACAAAAATCATCCACAAAGAAAATCTGAATAGAGTTCCAAAAAGTAGAAATAATGCAGTTCATGTTATCTATTAGGAGTTAACAGTGAAATTAGAAATTAACATATTAATTTGAAGTTAATTTTAAAAATGGCCAAATAGAACATACTACAAAAAGTGCTATCTTCATATAGGTGGGTTTTTTTCTTTAACTCATGGCGTTAGAATAATTGGGCAGACTTCTAGAACAAACTGAAAGGAGTCCTAACTGAACTCCTTACATCGAAACAAACTGCAAATGAATCAAAGATTTAATCCTTAAAATTAAAATACTAAAGAAAGAAACAGAGGAGAGTTTTAAAAAATAATCTTGCAGCTGTGAAGAACCTCTCTAAGTATAACAGAAAATCTGAAAGCCATTAAAGAAAGATCGATAAATGTCCTTAAATAATAAATAAAATATCCTGCAAAATAACTCAAACAAAATTTAAAAATAAACAAATCTTCCAGTGGGGAAAAAGGGGCCGTGATATGATATATGATAGAAAAGGGACTAATTTTCTTAAAATAAGGCTCCTATAAGTCAAATTAAGAAAAAAAGAGAAAGACTAACAATCCAATGCATAAACAGGTAAAGATCATAAGCAAACAGTTCGGAGAAAAATAAAAACCAGTGGCTTTATTTTTTATAATTAATAGCTTTTAAACATTTGAAAAGATGTTCAATCTCATTCACAACAAATTTTTATAAAGGAAACTGAAATTACAAAAGACCATTTTCAAATACCAAACTGGTGAAACACAAAGCTTGCAATACACAGTGTTGTGAGATGGTGGGAATAAAAACGAGTAGGTGAGTGATTTGACCATTCCTGTCAGAATATAAAGCGCACATATCCTTTCACCCCCCACAATTTAACTCCCAGGAGTCTTTCCTACATTAGCTTAAACATCAGTGCACTAAAACTTTTGTACGAGGTGGCAGCATTGCTTGAAATAACAAAAGAGCAGAAACGACTATTTATCAATATCAGAAGAGCTAAATAAGCTATTAATCCTATCCGATGGTACTCTATTCGACTATTAAAAAGAATGGGAAGATCAACATGGTTAGATATGTGCAATATATATAAGGTGTAGATTTGTGTATTCACAGATCTTTGAACAAAACACAGAGGAGACTGCTCAGTGGCTGCC